TTTTAACTTATATGATTGTGAACAATAAATTATGTTCAAAATCTTGTCATCCAATAAACAATATTGTTTCACTGTGATTGTATATATCCAATAAACAAATTAATCGGAAATTACATACTACCTCAGTGCCTAAGTTTCACATATATGTTAAGAATTTACGCATTCGAACTAGTTTGTTTTGTTTTGTTAGTTGAAACCGATAACTACTAATGTCTCACCTATATTAATTCAGCATAGGAATTTCACTCTCCACTTTCTAAGTTGTAGAATACATACAGAAGAAGATAACCGGCAAAAGTCTTTTGCATACCTAGAACCTTTGGATTTTCGTGTTTCACAATGCACGTTGTTTTTTAAATTAGTGTGAAGCTTTGGAGAGTTGGGAGATGTGCAAGTCACTGATTCCAATTCTACTGTAACACCTCTCTTCTCTTAGACCATCCGTTCCCAACAGGCCAAAAAGTTGGTAATGAAGAATCTCCCTTTTTGTCATCTATCCGGTACCAAATAAATTTCCAAAGGCATCTAGCTGCTGAATACTCCAAACATACGAACCTATAGTGTTCGCTTAAAACAACCGAAGCTCTGAATGCAGGAGAAATAGGTTCAGCTACTAGTGTACTCTAGAATCTATGAATTCATCTTTTAGGTGTGACCTTCCATATTGTATATTTATTAAACCCCTTTACCCCTTATTATTACACTTGCATAAACTAACCTTTTTTTTATTAAATTAACCGCAGTAATTCATTTATAACACACATACACACACAACCTTCTGCCCGAATTCCTCTCACTGTTTTCGATAGTATCATTCATTCAGATAAAGTTTATAATCAACCTGAATAAAAATTCAATGTGAAAACAATAATCGTGAGCATTCATTACGATGTTATTCATGGCCATTTACTTGTGAAATCCGATATTCTGTTTAGTGTTATATTTATGCATATTATCAGATACAGACATGTTGTTAACTACTTTCTTTTCACGATCTACTCGCATATAATTCTGATGTCATTTAAAAAAAAATCAATATTATCAATAACACAAATGAAGTGTCGTCAAGATTTGACAGAATAGTTCTAAAATATTTGGGCGCCGAGTGATCACAGCTCATAAAAAATTTTGTTGATTATACTTGTTGAATGACTCATGATTGGACAAAGTTTTCAAAAACACGTGATTTTCCTTTTATATAAAAACCTCTGTTATGTTAATTTCGACTAATTTCCCTGAAGAAGTTCAGACCAGATTGCCGAACGAAACGTTGGAATTACTCATTTCAAATATAATTTTTTACAAATTGTCAATAACAGTTATTCTTTAGATTATAGGATTTCGAATTAATTCCAGTTGTAAGATTTTTGTCACGCATTAACATAAGTTATTATTATTATTGTTCCTTTGCTTCTGCTGTACTTTTCACCTGCACCCATGTTAATCCATACTGTTTCAACTCCTCTTCACACGATCTCCTGCATGTAACCCTTGGACGTCTCACTCGCCGAGCACTGGATAGCAGTCTCGCCCTATTTGGAGACTCTCAACAGTGCGCACCCATATCTAAGCCTGGGATTGAACCCGGTACCTCCAGACTACGAGATCATTCAGCCACTTGAGCTGGAATTCAATGACTCATCAATCCTACTTTCTTTCAATTCACGATATAGTAATACTACCAGCCAATGTCATCGGTGAGTATTTGTCCTCACACCTGATCACGACTTCCCATTAGAATTTGATACTCATTCATCGTGTAGTGAGGATTAGAGTTCCTCTTGCAACCTGAAGGTCATGTGTTCGTCCCCTAGTGGGTCATAGTCGCGTACTACTGAAGAGTCAGAAACGAGGATGAAGCGGTTGTCCAATACTCTCTGAAGTCAATTCGTAATCAAAACTGATTTTAAAAAAAATTATTATGGGTAATATAACTGTAGATCCTGATGAAGAAGTTATCTAAAAGAATATTCTTTGTTTAGTAATCAGTTGTCTTTTAAAATTTCTAATGGATACTTTTAATTAGAATCTGAAAGAGTAGATGTATCTGAGCCGTGTTGAAAATTTTTGACTGATATTACCTTTAGTGCACAGTCATCATTTTTTTAACATCCAACAGAATCCAGTCACTCCGGTCCTAGTAGGCTCTAAACTTCCATATATTTCTAAGAATGAAGTGAGTGTCTTATTTAATATACGTGACACGATGTGAATTGCGTATTCCCTTGAAGTATATCATATTTGATTAACTTATTTACAAGGAAACAACATTTTTCTCTAGTTTTTTAAAAGTTCATAAAAAACTGTTATTTAGAAAATATTATTGTACCTATTGATGTATCGGTCATCCATCGGTAGAATTCTCGCCAGCCATACACGTGGTGGTCAGGGGTTCGATCCCCATTTAGTGTTCATCTTTACCTCTCTTATCCAAATGTAAGGCCGACAAAGAGAGGAAGTTGGGCGTGAGGCTAGCAACGCCACCCAGTAAAGAAACGCTAATGTGACATTAAAGAACTGCTCATAACTAATTTGGTTTATGATGAATTAAAATAAAACACTAATCAATAAGATAAATACTATAACTAATTATCAGTTGATACTCAATCTTTCCTAAAACAAAAGATCGACCTGAGGGAAGCAGTTGCTTGTAATGGAACATAGGGCATCAGCAGCACATCGCCATGCCACTCTCTTTTCTGCTGTCTTTCTTGGCTGATCCCACGATAGCCTATAAGCTTTCATTTCTTCAATGTTACCTCCAGACGCTCAACTCGTCATTTTCAATCTGGGTTCCACCCGATGACCTGCCTGGCTTATGATGTCACACAGCCACCTCCTTTGCGTATGTCCGATCCATCTCCATGTTGTTGGTCCGTTGCCAACCAGAATTCCTTGGTGGTAATCCTTTCTAGCCATTTAATCCTCAGTATCAAGCCAGCTATTAATGAAAGACCGTACACAGCATGTTGGGAATGACCAGTCAGCGTCCATTATAAACAACAATTGAACGCTTATGTTGATGTCTTTTAATTACGAATTTAGATTGTCGTCTGAATTCACCACAACAGTAGTACCTAACAACAGAAACACCCATATGGATCAATTGTGTATCTTATTAAAATCACTTCGTCTACCTGCAATATGCATTCCTAGTGGAACACAGAGCTTTGAAGTTTCAGTAGCTGTGTTGTTTTCATGGGGCAGAGGTTGCTTGCTAACCGTAACACCCAACCTTCCTTCTTTACCGAGCTTACTACCAGCTAAGCGACGTTTAGGAGTACATCTACCGGGAATCGAATCCCGGACAGCATGCGTGACTAGAGAGTATTTTACCTATGAATTGCTGATGCACAAAATCCAGGGAGTATTGAACAGTCATTTCACCCTGATGTGGGAGTCTTCAGTAGTACGCACTGACGACTTCACTGGGGATCGAACCCATGACCTTCAGGTTAAGAGCTGAAGCGGTTGACCTTCCAGCCACTGTGTGAAAAAACTTCTAGTATGGTAACAATACTAACCAGTCAATCTAAAGTACTGACCAAAAATAATCTTTGACTAGTGAATGCATTTCGAATGTACCCAACAAGAAACAGTAATTCACGAACTTAAACAAAAGGGAGTAAATTGAAAAGGTGTTTAGATTTATTCCTTTTGTAAATAAATTAAACCTATGAACTGTTCATCAGAAAAATGCTTGTTCGCATGTTGATATCTGAGTAGCTTAGAATATAAACTATTAGCATGTCACTCATACACTGTAGTAAGGAATTCTGTCTATCTATGAGACGACAGAATATTAATATTTGTGAGTTGAGAATACCAAAATTATGTGGTCATTAGAAATAGCGATGAACTCCCTCCGTATGCTACACGTGGTTAGATTCTAATCTTTAAGTAAGTCACCTAAAGATTCCCCAAAAATTCGTTAAATTAGACTTTACCTATTTGGAAATAGCTACGATATTAGAGTTGAGAAGGGAGCTGTAGCGCAACTGAATGAATGGCATGATACCGTCATCTATATGTTATGTTACTGAATCACAAACTTCATACAACATGAACACTATAATACCTTAGGAAACCAATTGTTTGATGACAGAATGAAACAGTATATTAGTCTTGGTAGATAGATATAAAACGTCCATCGGTTCCTCTTTCTTTTGGTAGGAGGAAAGAAAGAATTTTAAAGTGACCGATATCGATTTCTATCCTCTAGTGATTTGTGATGTATCAAAAAATATTAACCCAGAACAAGTACCCTTCATTTTATAGCGCCAGATCATGAGCTGACCACTGAATCCACACACCTTCCAGTAGAGTTTTAAGGCCAGTTAATAGTGAAAGATATGGAAACTACGGGGACGCGTGCCCTTTAAATCCGATGCGTAAGATGACATAATTTACTGGATTACAACCATCATCTTGCCCAAGCACACTGTCGTAGTTACTTTCTCTCATCATCACTAGGTGGACGTTATCCTAAAGAGACAGAGACATGCTCAACCTGGAGAGAACCGTCTCCATTGGTGTCAGAGAGAAATTTACGCCACGTGACATGGTAAACCAAATCTTTGATGGCTAGGCTAGCGCTATGTTTACACCGAAAGTTGCTTTGCTTAGTACGTCTCTTACCCATTTATTATAACACAGACTTGGTACATTATGACCACCAAGAGATGCACCGCACGATATCTTCTATGTCTCCCCGTGGTTTCCGAAGTATGGTTACAAATATTTTGTTAAACATACACCCGTGAATATGACTGAAGGTATAGGCCTCATCCAGTATTTAGCACATTAGTGATGTAAAACAAATGCTATACATAAATTCTATCATGAGGATACGTTCACCTGGCAAACTTTTCGCAAACATTATTTTATACACAGAGAAATCCCTGTCTAACCCTTTTTCCTCAGATATATTTCCGACTGATACTGTTACTGAAGGGCAGCGGGAACACCATTCGAATAAACACTAAAGTAAAAGACATAAGTAGGAGAATGTACCTCCAGCTTATTAATTTTGTATTTAGGCACAAAGAGGAAATATGTTGACATGATTGGAAGTGAAAGTAACCGACAAGCGTTTAAAAAAAAAAAGAAATGGCTTGAAAGAGCACAATGTGATAATATGACGACAGAGGAAAACAAAAAGAAATGCAACACACCATACTGAGAAAAAGTATGTGAAGATTGTGCTGCACAACAACACACTAAAGATAAACTAAACAAGCTCCTTAAAGACTGTTCTCCAGTGTTTACATCCAAAAAGAAAAAGAATGCATGTAAACACAAACTTGCCCAGCGGCTGGAGGAGGACAACGGGTGACAACCGGCGCATATCTTCTCATCGCACACACACACACACACACATCAAAATTACTGAGTACAAAACTGGTGTGGAAAAAAATGTGTGGGACTAAAATATGTCTGAAGTAATAATAATGAAAACAGATAAACAGTTCCGACTGCAGTCAGCAAGACTAAATTTTTTGAGTTAGCAGTAACTAAAGCGATCACCGGGCCTCTTCATAATTGGCCTCTCGAGTAGCTTCTTCACATCACCAGGGTTGAGTTTTACTAGTTCTGTAAACTGTATCTGTTTCTGAGATAAAACGTTTTCGAGGTCTAAAACAAAATCAACAATATTTAAGTTTTTTAAATACATAGTTTTTCAACAGTTTAAAAATTATACTTCCAGAGAGATTTGATTTAATGCTTCATCAAAAGCGGTAACGAAAAAAAGTGTTACAGTTAACTTGCAATTACATGCAGTTGGCAGCGGAAGCCATCTGTTACGTGAGAGAGCTAGTGACGACGTTACCTGGTTGCTCAGATCTCAATAGGTGAAGTGGGAGTTCTAACTCAAAGTGGAGCAGTAGTTGGAAGTTAAACACGCCTAAACCAAGGAACTTAAGCTTCAGTAAAAGTGATGATGTCTTACCAATTATACGGATATGTTGTTCACTTACTCTAAGACTAGCAACAACCAGAGAACAAGCCTTTGGTTCTATAGCTCTTTGTGCGACAACGACCACACAGTGAAAAGAGTTTAAATTTTCAAAGCAAGTACACTATTCTACAGTCACTCGACTAGAATTTAACTCTTTATCTCCAGTGACTCTCAGATTGATATTGGCTTATGACATAATCTATTTAGAAATCAAATCCTCAAAAACTTAAAGCAAAAGGTAACAGCAGTGAAGGAAAATGAGGCTCAGGTTTGATACACACACGGAAATACACAAAAATAATCTGCAACAACAAGTTACGTCACACAATATCTTTTCACATTTGATACAACCACAGGTGGTAACCGTCATTTTTACAAAATGCTCCCATTATTTTATGATTTACACTTAAGAAATTGAGTACTAAACTAAGATAATAAGGAAGCATATATTGAGCCAAAAGCAAATACACCTTCCATGAGACTAGATTTAGTTTCCACGACAATATGGAAGAAATACACTACTTAGTCACTACATGATATAACAATCAAATCTGATGTAACTCTACCCTTTCGTAGTCAAATGACAAAAACGTAGCGCTAGTGGCCGAAAACATGCAACAGAATACAGATAAACGTAAAGCACGTCGAAAGGTTAGAAAAGAGTTAGGTATGGTCGAACCAAAACCTTGCAACAATCCATGACGTTTCTCTTTTGAGATTTTGAACTTCTGGCAACAGTCAAGTACAGTTGACTTGGAGTGTTGTAGTTCTTCATTAGAAACAGGGACTAAGTCTATTGTTTTACAAACTAGACCCTCGAATTCGTCTTCGCTGTGGTGATATGTCTCTTTTGGAGCTCAATGGCAGAATTTGGTGCCGAGTTATAATGCTTGAAGTTGGTTCGATGTGTCACATCCCAAAAATTAAACACGTTCCTTGAAGCCAGTGGTAGTCCCTGCCAAATTCCCATTGAATACAGAGAAATTTGTTTAATTTTCAAACGTGACACACATCAGAACAACATCAGGCATTACCCCTAGATAACAAATTCTGCCATCGAGCTGCCAAAGAGACATATCTCCACAGTGAAGTAGAATCCGTGAAGTCTTTGACTGTTGATTTGAGTCACGTAGGGAGGTGCAGACTTCCTGGTTGAGGTCGTCGGGATCGTAAAAATTAATGGCTGGATACTGTTGGTGATAGGGCTCAAAACCGTTCTTAATGGTGCATATGTCTTCACTCTTCGTTATCTTCAACATCCTCATGCTTTCGCATGTTACGATTCTTCTCTCTGTTTGCTCATTCTAGTTCCTGTGAGTGTTTTGTCATTTCTCCATCTTTGTGTTCTACATAGAGTGTGGCAACTCGATTTTCTTCACTTTTATGATAAATACTACGTTGAAACTCAATCGTTCGGATTAAAAATAATAGTGAAGATATATAGATATTCGTTGAGAGAACTGAACATTAAACTGCAAATAAAAAGTAGAAGAGTTTAGGTTGTAGATATGAATGAACATCAGAGGCTAACTTACTTAGCAGTAAACTCGTTAGCCAGTTTTCTAGGCATGAAACCAGCTTTAATAGCATCATTCATTATTGATTCCATTAGTGTATAAGCAGCAGGCACATCTAATTGCAAATCTGGCAATTCAGCATAGACTCGCCTGACACCCAAAGTTAACTGATCGATTGTCAAAACTACTGAAGAACACAGTTCACTCAACAAGGAAATGACACGTTCACGAGCAAGTTGAGTACTTATTTCAATAGCCATTACCATAGCCTGTCAAATAATTAAAAAGAAAGTATCATTAGGAGAACTGAAGTTATAGAGATAGACATATGCTATTACACATTAGAATTGGCCGGTACTTATGTAAAAGAAGAGAAGGCCTCATTCAATGCTACGTAGAAGACTAAAAACGATAACTCTGTGAAACCAGAGTAACAACATATAGGTTGACAACCGACACACGTACTGTTCTTATCACTACCTGTATCTTGAATACCCTTCTAATGGCCCTTATCTTAGTTATTTTACTGGAAGCACTGATGGATGACGCCTTCTAACGCCAAAGGTGGGTAGACTTCAGCTCTTAGCTTGAAATTCCCTTATGTGGCCGCATATTGATAGACTATGCCATGTAAGTCGCATTCATTGCCTTCACACGGTGGGAGTGTTTCTGACAAAAGTGGAAAGAAAAATGCAAACATCTGGCACTTACACCCGAGTTGGTGGATATGCTTATTAGGACTCAGTCAATCGGCACATGACTCTCCTCTATGAGGCTGATAACACCACCACCCAGTTGTCCAGGTTGAAGTAGACAGAATGGGATTCGAACCATGGATCTACATGCTCGAAACCAAGTGATTTAGACCCTTCCACAGAATTATATTACGCTTGTATCGCGCAGGAACAATAGGAGAATTTCGCACTTTTGGAAAAATAAATTGAAAAAAGCACTTGGTACAAGTTAAACATACACAATGAATCTTACCTGGAAAACTAGTTCATGATGAAAATGTGGAGCATCCAGTTCCAGCAATGCCTCAGTCGCTTCATCGATATCATTTGAATCAATGAACGACTTTAGAAGCCTTCTAATTTTCTTTGCCAACACTTTAGTTGCCTTAGGTCCAGCAGGTACACCCCAAATATTTTCCAATCTGGAAAACGCATGCCTCAAAGTTAAGATGCTTTCAGCTCTGTTTAGAGCTTGTAATGCTAGATCTGGGCGAACCATATTAACAGTAACCAAGCTTGATGCAGAACCAATACCACTGCTGGAATTATCAACAGAGACTGATCCACCAGAGCTACTGTCGCTAAGGTTACGAGTACCAGGTCGAGTTCCGTTTTGTGCATCACTTTGAGTTGTATTAGTGTTAGCGAACATCACAGAATTTTCTGATCCAAGAGTTTCGTTGGTATGAGGAGGGCTACCACTAGGAGGCACCTGAGATAGAACAGATCTTTGAATTTCGACAAATTTAGGAGGAAGGATGTCATCCAGAATCGCTCTTGCTACGAAACGTCCAAGATACTTCACAAAAAAAGAAGAGGATAAGAAAAAGAACGTATGAAGCAACCAACATAAATTAATGAAAATTAGAACATTACATACAATCCACTAAAATCATAATTTGACTTGTCCGATGGATTGTGTCGATGAGTTCTCATTAAAATTTAAAATTGACGTAGCTGCTTCCAGAATTACACCCCAAAAATTGTGAGCCTTTACGACAGTAGTTTTAATTTGTAATCTAGGCAAACAGACCAAAGCAAAATCTTACTGGGAATTGTGAGTACCAGTCACAGCACCCAAAGAAAGTCGACAAGAATTCAGTGATACTACAATGCTGCTATTCTGAAAAGATGCTGCAGTTATATTGAAACCAAGGCCCCCTATGTAACAACACAGTTCCTCTCACCAAAATGCATTTAAGGTGATTGCATTAATGCCAAAATAATTAAATACAAGCTGAGTAATCTGTTAGATCACCTCTAAACGCTTACAATGCTTTAAGGTTGGTATCAGCGAGTATGCATTCGGTCGAGTCCAATACAACATTGTTGCACTTCCTCTGTGCTAATCATCATACAACTTTCCAAATTACCTCCTACAACTACTAATATCCACGTAAGTTATTACGCTTCTCTTTGAGGCATATTTCCAAGTAATTCAGTTTTTCTGTGTTGACTGGTTTCAACGTAGAGCTTTGCACAGATGTGTAACAGTTCAAGCTGCCACCCTGCATGTAGCACACGAAGCAAGAGGAGAGAGTAGAGAGATTCTGTATTTGGTATATGTGACTAAAGGTTAGATAAGCCACTAGTTGAGATCATTGAATAGCTTGAAAACCTGGCAATTAACAACTAAGGTGTTCATACAGCCGCCTTTATCAAGCGTGTCGCATTTAATGACCAGCTGAAAGTGAGAAAACACTTCCCAGATTTGCACTTTAGCGACAGCGAACCTGCATGAATGCTATTTAGCATGAAGTGGTTAATTTCCTATTTAAATGTCAACTAACCACTTTATAAATCCTCGCCTAGTTAACTAGCTTGCTCCCGAACTGGGAGCAGATAATACAGAAAGAGAACTCATCATGGGTTGAGAGACTCTCACTCGGCGAAATGAATTAGAACGAAGAATTATTCGCATACTTCTGCGCTTTCAATGATTTGGTGATCGGAGGCAGCGTGTACATGCACAAGGACATACACAAAGCCACGTGGGTTTCGCCTGATGGACACACCACGAAAAAGATCGATTTCATCTCATTGTTGCTAAAAGAAGTGGAGACGTAGCCTGCTGGACACGAAGTTGAAAAGGGGAGCAGGTGTGGGCTCGGACCATCATCTAGTTCTAGGAACCTTCAAGGCGAAGCTGAAATCCTTCAGAACAACCGTAGACAGACCAAAATTCAAGTTCAGTATTTAGAAACTGAAGGACAAAACTAAAAGGGATGCCTTCACTACAGATCAGAGCAAAGTCGGAGACACTACGTTGTATCACTGAGGTGACCTGTATAGAAGAAAATTGGAACTCTCTGAAGGTGATGTTCAAGGAAACGTGTACAAATGTTCTAGGGAGAAAGAAGAGACAAGACAAGGAATGGCTCTCAACAGACACCTACCTGGAAGCTAAAAGAAGAGAGGTGACGAGGATGGTGAAAGAGATGATAACTAAATGCAAAGATCCACAGCACAAGGAGAAGCTTACTTCAATGTACACTGCACTGAATAAAGAAGTGAAGAAATGTGCTATGAAAGACAAAAGACAATTCTATGACACACTGGCTGGCGGCAACTGAAGCAGAACAGGCGCGCAGCAGGTAAAAGAGAACTCAGAATATTATATCGTATGAGCAGGTCTCCGTCCCGGAAGAGATCAACCCAGATGAAACCAATAAGAGACGTCCAAGGTATTCTGACCAGCAAGAAGGAGAAACAAATAAAAGAATGGACTGATCACTTTAAAGGGCTCCTGAATTGACCATCACCTGTAACTCTCCTAGAAATACACCACCACCACGCACAGAACTGCCTGCCGGTGGACACCAACCCTCCAACGAAAGTCGAAATCCTGAATCCGACCAACCTACTGAACACCGGTCGGGGAAGCAGCAGAACCAAACGGAATTCCCCCCCTCTTGAACCACTGAAAACGGACCCACAGACTGTGGCAGATGTTCTCACGCCACTATTGCAAAAGGTTTGGAAAGAAGGAAAGGTGCCTGCTGATTGAAAGGAAGGCTGGCTACCTTGTCATCCTGCCAAGGACGACTCGGACTTCTACAGAAACTGGCGCGGAGTGGTGCTCTTTTCCACGCCAAGTAAAATACTAAGTTGCGTCATTCTGGTGAGAATGAAAGATGCACTGGATAAAGAACTGCAGACGAACACAGAGAAGACGGTGATGAAGATAACCAATCAACAGCAACAACATTCAGTACCAATCACCATTAACGGGAGAGATTTAACAGAGGTTGCCTCTTTCGCTTATCTAGGCAGCCAGCATCGTTTCAACTACGCATGAAGATGTCAAAGTAGGCGTGAATCGGAAAGGCAAGATACTCCTTCATCACTCTGAAGCCAGTTTGGAAATATTCTGCAGTCCGCTGCATAAAGGACGAGATTCGGATTTTCAACACCAATATCAAGTCGGTCCTTCTATACGGGTCAGAAACTCGCACTGCGTGTCACGAAAAGGATTTCCAACAGGCCACTGCAGACTTTCATCAACAGCTGCCTTCACAGGTTCCATACTGAAGATCAAATGGCCAAATAGAAAGAATCAGTAACAAGAAACTCTGGGAACAAACCAATTACGAGCCGATGGCTCAACAAATATGTAGGAGAAAATGGAGATGGATCGGGCATCCACTGAGGAAACCGTCGAATGACATCGCGCGCAATACAGGCCATCGCTCTAGTAGAATCCCAATGGGAAGCAACGAGTGATCCGTCAATGCAATGGTGACATTGAGGAGATCGTGTGAGGAAGAGATAAGAGAGTTTGGACAATTGTGGACCCATCTGAAGAGAACGGCAGAAAAAAGAAGGTGGAGATACGCTGTTAAAGCCGTATGTTCCACTCGAAACCCAAGGGAACAATAATAATAATAAAGCACTTTATAAACAACTGTTGTTGACACTGCCAAGTCATGTACAAACATTTCTTCGGTGATGGAAAGTTGAAATGCAGCTAAGACATGTATTCATCCAGTGATGCCGAATATTTGCGTGGTGGCTCGTACAACTTAAATATAAGAGGAACCATGTAGCACATGTAAGGGAAAATTGTTATATCACAGAGGTGCAAAACAACCAAGACACGTATGAGCAAGTGATGTCAGTCAGCGTCTCAGTTGCCTCTGAATTATAGAATACACTTCCTAATATGCATAGGAAGAAACCGGCGTCATTCCCTTAACACCGAGGAAATCAGGGGTCAGCAACTTCACAACTTCGTGTCATTAGTTGTCTGTCTATCATGACGTACGAAGGGAATACATTGACCTTCACTAATCATTTCGTTTGGCTCTCACCGTAACCAATATGACAGTTGGTACTACTTATATAGTTCTTTTACATCACCATTAGTTGCTAGTAAACTGCGCGAACTGGACTACATATATTTACGTGAATGAGACCCTTATCACCAATTCATACGAAATCAGTGGTCAGATTTCTCCAAGGCCGTCAGTCTAGTTTGATGCCCGTTTACTGACTTTTCTTGGTTGGGCAACTGATGCCCGTAAGATTCGCCAGTGTGAAGAAATCTTGAATAGCTGGTACCTTATCAAGAAGTGGACGAATGCTATTTGCACTAATTACATGATCAAGAAAAGCCAGTGGGTAAACTGTAACCGCACTCAGATAGATACGAAGTTACGCCAAATACATAGTTAAGTGCTATTCGTTGCCGTTTGAATCAAGGTGCCCAGGACCTTACAAACTGGCTTTAACCTCAATAGTTTACCAATACTCGTAATGACTGACGAGTAGAGTACGCGTAAGTAGCCCACTTCAAGTAACAGTGACCACTGGTAGATACATATGTCGTAAAGACTTATTCGTCACCTGATTGTAACTTGTCTGATAAACAGAACCCTCCTATAACTGACGGTTTCATCTGCAAGTATCATATCCCCTCATTAGCCATGTGTTAATTTAATTTGATCAAGTTTGGGAGGATCCCCCTATGGAACCAGTCAGCTACGCAACTCAAACGTAAGCCTATATAGGACAGATAGTAGTGTTATTTCAGGTTGAGACGGACAGATAAATGCAATCGATTCATATCTGATTGATTTATTCCACCTATAGGAAATTAACACATTTGAAGTGGTGATAAGTGACAAAAGCCATTACTTTATAGTAATAAAAAAAACAAAATCCGCACAAAACACAACACTACTCGACCTCAAAGGCAAAACAAACACCACCCCCCCCACCCCATAGTAGCCTAAATTACTTCCAGTAACATACCTCTGGTGCTTTTGGGACATCAATTATAAGGTCACCAATCTCACTCAAAACAAGCTGAAAGCCTTGTTGGATATGAGCGTGATTGAGAACTTTTCCACACATATCCGACAGCAACTCTGAAGTAAGCTCACATTGTGTTTGACGATGTTGAATAGCAAGAGTGATTGCCAAATATGGAAGTCGACGACGCTGATGTGCAGCAAGATTCATATCTGAAACAGCATCCTGAAAGGAAATCAAGAATCCAACATATCACCTCTCGAAACGCAAATACTATCTTAGAATCAAAAACAAACAGTGGAAAAAGTTAAAATTGCAACCATATTAAGTGGAACTCGCATACGATTAGTCAAAACCAGCCGACAAACTCGTTTTTAAGCATCAAATTAAAGTCTGAAAATCCCTACAATGTTAGCCCAAGCGATACAAACTAGGTTTGCTGTCACACTACCCAACATTAAGAAAACAATGTGACACACATGTTTGAGTACAAGCAACCAGGAGACCCAGTCCGTGATTCTGACCAAGATCGCCAGTGAGCCGTTTACCTGCAGATTCCTCAACACCACACCAAGGGATATGCTGTACCCTGAGGAATAAACACAATCAACTCGTCCAAGAAATTAAACTGTGTTCCACCACCGTTAAATAAAATCGTAAAAATCCCTTTTAAGTAAAAAAAACCATGTTTCCTATTAGCTGTGTCCAGTTCCTAAATGGTGATTTTAAATAGGAATTAAAACAAAGTTTTTTGTGTCGAGTATGAGTCAATCCGTAGCCAAATCGATAGACACCTCGATAGTAATGTCACCTCATGAATTGAATCAAGGACTTGAGATTTAACGATGGTAAATCCTGTTTTCGCTCATTTGACGATGCAACGTCTTAAAGTTCCTAAACCCAATTCTTAACGTCATGTATCATAATGCGACTCTTGGTGTAGAACAAACATTAAACAATGAACAAATGACTTACAATGATATCTTGAGTCTTTCCATGGATGAAGAATTCATTCATCAGAGAAGAAAATGTCTTCTCAAATACTTCGTCAGATACCGTTGGCTGAACTTCATCAAATGTAACTGGTGCCTGCATATGAATAGATCACGAGACTGCAAGACTTACATCTTCATCTGAATCAAAGTCGGGATCTTCGGGATCCAATTCAATCTCATCCAAAACGTCAGTTGGATCATCATGTTTGCCGCCACCTTAGGAAGTTTATTATATTTTCCGACAGACTTACGTTTGCTTGGTATTTTACGACCATCACGTGACTTTTTACTGTTTTTGCTGTACGGTAGACGAGTACTAGACAGCTGGATCTTGTGAATTGCAGCAGTTAATGTGTGTAAATCCGAAGGAATCCCATCGATTGTCAGACCATTTGTACCAGAGTGACTGAATGAAGCAGAATGGTAACGTTTCTTTCTTGTATGAGTGACTGGGGGAAATTTCTGAGGTTTATCAAACGACGGTGCTGGCCAAATCATTTCACCAGCAGACTCCTCACCACTCGCAGCGCCTCCATCTCCAGATACAATTGCTGCTACCTTTCCCCCTTTGGACATATAGAGGAATGAACGAGTTGTTTGGAAATGACGCTGGCAGTGGAACTACGTATGATGTCACCAGCTGTCTTTATACAATTTCGCGACAAAGAACTAGAGGCGCTGACAATGAACCGGTATGACCTTGGGATGCTGTCATTACAAACAACTTCACCCACTGATTCAATTTACAATGGCAGATATTTTACGCTAGTACTTTGCACTGATTATCAGCCCGAAGATATAAATATATGAATGTGGAAAAAGCCTGATATGTAGTATCAATATTTTGAGGCTTTATTACTGCTGATCTTTAGGGCCTAATTAATGTTTGGAAAGATTCCGTCTGCCTCACTGATTTCGGAACTATGAGTAGGTAATGTTAGTCAGTTAGCCAAGAAATGCAGGCTAAAACTTTAAGGGTGACCGTCAGACTACGACGCATTTTCTTGTGACTTCTTTCTGTAAAAATAGCACAAAGGTAATACCGAAAGAGAAAATACGTCGTGAAGGAAGCAACACTTGTAGTATGTCATTCACCTAGTGTTGGTGTTGTCTGAATTCCGATAGCGAAGCTTATGGTGCGACTGGCCAGCTCGGTGCAGTTTGGATCAATACTAAATGATTAGAGACAATCCGCTGTTTCGTGCTTGTCAGTACTAGTAAGCCAGGTGTCTTTGTAGCCTCGAAGGAACTGAATCCCCAAGAGGTTTCGAACTCATCTTATTCATTTCTCAGGTGCCGAGCGTTACCAGAAGGTCCACTCAGTCTAAGTATCCATACGAGCCGCCTTCAGCGACTTAGAAGCACTATCGTGTTGGTTGTCCCCTGGCGTGAAAAGCGGTAGTTGTAAGGGTGAGAGGACAGCAGAAAATATTATTAAGAAGTGTTCTGGAGTAACAGCTCACAACTACCCTAGTAAGAAATGTGGAAGGGCGAATGAGTGTGAGATGTCCTGAACAAACAGTTTGCACAGTTTGCTCTGCGTGTTAAAAGTGGACATGTTGTTTGCTATTTTGTTTTAGTCGACATCCTTGTTTAAAAAATAACTTCCGCGTTTAATAAAAAAGTTGTGCTGTTTTTTTTCGCTTCGTCTTCTCACAGGTTGCCACGGTCTACTTACTCTGCTAATCCTCGTATAATATCCTTGGGAACTTACGGGAACATCTCGATCTCGTCCAAAACTCTAACAACCGGTTAATTACTTCTGCCAGTGGACACTACACAGACGTGAAGCGTATCTGCGGTCCATATCGCTAGTTCGTAGAGGTAGACAATAACTATATTTCCAAGTGTGATAGGACAACAGATTATTCGTTAAGATTATTGGCAAAGAAATATAAGTGTAATGTGATGGGAAAATTCGTTATATGAAATCTTACCATTTCTATAGCGGAAGGCAATGATAATTTACCTTAAGAGCTGTTGGCTCATAATGTGAACTTGACTACACTAACCGTTGCAACAGACTGAAAATAGAACCACTCTCGGAAAGACGTCTCAAGCTAAACCTTATTTTCTACCACAAGCTAACTAATCTTCTCTTGCACTCCTCCAGGCCATGAACCAAATCTACCTCTGTAATCAGTAACAGTCGTAGAAATCATGACGACCTAGTTGCTACAGAGCATTGTCAAACTGATATGTGGTTCAAACTCTTCTTATATAAGCTTTTAGTCATTTGGAATAGACTACCAGCTAATGTGCAAGATACAAACACACTTCCAGTGTTCATCTCCTCAATCACCAGACTGCTCAAAGATGATAATGCACTCCTGCGTCTGACTCCTACACCCTTTTTTCACCCTATATAGATATTATAAATTCACTAAACGTATAAGTCACAACAAAGTACAATGAAAAGTGTTAATACTATTGGAAGGGCATGATAAACATTTCTACAAAGGCTATTAATATTAGTTCACACATAATATAAGTTAGCATAACAGTACCAGTTAGCCAGTGTATCAACGTAATCATATATATATATACATGTATTAATTCATAAATCACTCCTTGAGGACTCCACTTGTTTTCTTCTGTGCTGCTGTCGTTTATCTCCTTTTTTATATATTTATATTTTATATTTATTACAGCTTGATGCCACACCGTATTTTTAGGTACACGTATGGAATTTTCAGCATGGATATCGGTAGCCCAAATTTTGCAGGCCGACCATAGATATCGGGTGTGCGCCGGCAGGGGCTCGAACCCCGGACCATGTGCATGGTCGGCGAGAGTCCTAACCACTGTGCCACCGACGCACACCGACGCACCATTTTACCTTCTATATAACTTTCTGAATGAAAAATAAAGAATATAGATATTTGGCCACTTACAATGACAAAATGATCTGCTAACATTACTGGTCCTATATCCTACAGCTGCCTCGTGTTTTACCCATTACCTTCCTCCGCGACGCATACTGGATGACAGTTTCGGAATGTTACCTTTATACCAACAACAAATCACAATTGTTGCTGCTCTATTTTGACTGAACTAGAATGCACGTATATCTTAGTACTTCTTCGCGTTTATATTTGTGTCCTAACGTTGTGATTACTCGACATCCACAACGTAATTAAAAAGGCACTTGCGAAGGAATACGACAGTGTATTATTGCAGCAATCAAAATTCAAAAATCGAGCGAGTACAAAAAGTATCAATTGTTAACATGCATGATTTAGAGTAATAAACAAAGCAAAGTACAATTACATAGTGAAAGTATACTGCGATGATGAGTAATAAAACGGGTCACTACAATAGCCCCTCCGTAGAATGCAGGTAAATGAAGTTTACCTGTATTCGGAATGATATTGTAAATTACAATTACAGAAGAAATATATACGAGTTTCTGGTATGAAAACCGAATTGAGGATTTTAAGTTTTTGAGGTTTGATAATATAACTGTATATATGCAAAAATGTTAACAACTTCGAAACGAACCGAAATATTTAGAAAGTTGTGCAAAATGTAACAATAAAACCAGAAAAATTATTAGAATAATAATGGGGTTGTTATTGTAAAGAGTTACAGAATAGATTTATATCTTAACATACAGTTAATAGTACCGTAATAAGGTAGTATGGAAATGAATTAGAAATAAATTGTCTGTACAAATCTTTGTGGCCAATGTACTCGTCTGCCTGATCTTGTGATTCTTTCTGTTTTGTTAGACGGAATATCATCAGATTTTGAATCTTGAGAGCAGGAATCATTTTGTGGCGTAATTTTAGGTGATGTTGATGACTTGGGTAAACATTCAGTCACCTCTATTTCCATGAAAGCTGGTTTTACTCGATCGATGCTTACAATCTCGTGTTTTCCTCCGCGTTCGACAGTGATGATTTTGCTTGTTCTGCTTATTACTTTGAATGGTCCGTCATAAGGTGGTTGAAGTGGTTTCCTTACACCGTCGTGTCGTATGAAAACATGCGTGCAATTTTCTAGTTTTTCAGGCATGTATGCTTGGTTGAGCTGATGTCGCGGTGGGTGATATCTTAAAAGGCTCATATGCTGTCTCAGTTGTTGTACAAAAGTAGTTTCGTCAGTTGGAACTTCAGTGGCTGGGTTGAAATATTCTCCAGGTAGTCGTAAAGTAGTTCCATAAACTAATTCTGCTGGACAACATTTGATATCTTGTTTTATTGTCGAACGTATTCCAAGAAGTACAAGAGGTAATTTATCGCTCCACTTATCATCGTCCTTCACTGCCATCAATGATGCTTTCAGTTGACGATGAAATCTCTCCACTAAGCCGTTTGAACTGGGATGATATGCAGTAGTACGTATACGTTTGATTCCCAGTAGTTCTGTGAGTTGTTGGAATAAATGGCTTTCGAATTGGGAACCTCTGTCTGTAGTAATAATGGTGGGCACTCCGAAGTTGGAAATCCAATTTTGTACGATGCTCTTTGCAACGGTTTCAGCAGAAATATCAGGTAAGGGACAAGCTACTGGCCATCTCGTAAATCTGTCAATACACGTTAAAATGTACGTAAAGCCATTAGATGGTGGTAATGGTCCAACGATGTCAATGTGTATGTGTTGGAACCTACCATCAGGTTCTGGAAACTGTCCATTAGGCGAAACTGTATGTCGTTGTACTTTTGACTTTTGGCAGGCTAAACATGATCTGGCCCACTGTTTAATCTCCCGATTCATATTCGGCCATACATATCGGTCACTTATCAGTTTAACTGTTGCTCGGATGCCAGGGTGAGAAATGCCATGTACTTTGGAAAAAACTGATCTTCGCATTTCTAGTGGGACAAAAGGGCGCGGTTTACCTTTGGAAACATCACACGTAATAATTAGTCCTTCATCAAGCATAACATCTTGCAAACGTAAGGAAGTACTCGTGCTATTTTTTATTCTTTTCAGATCCTCGTCCATAGTTTGCAGTCTAGCCATATTTTTAAGATCAAACTGGTCTTTTTCTAAGGTATTTATATGGATGCGGGATAACGCATCTGCTACCTCGTTTTTATGTCCTTTTATGAATCTAATATCTGAAGTGAACTGAGAAATGAACTCGAGGTGTCTGAGTTCTCTTGGCGAGTACTTATCGTGCTTTGCATTCATGGCCTTGGTTAGTGGTTTGTGGTCTGTGTAGATGGTAAACGGTATTCCTTCTACCATATGACGAAAATGTTTAACAGCAAGATAGACTGCTAGTAATTCTCTACTGAATGCACTATATCTTGATTGAGTGGCGTCTAGACGTTTGGAGAAAAAGGAGAGAGGTTGCCATTTCCCAGCAGAAAATTGTTGAAGAACTGCACCGACGGCGACATCTGATGCATCTGTCATAATCGCTATAGGAGCGTTGACGTCACGACGTACTAGTAAAGTTTCTGAGCTTAGAGTTTGTTTCAGCTTTTCAAATGCCTCGATTGCTGAAGTACTCATGTGCAGCGATTTTGCATGACCTTTTAGTAAATCTGTCAGAGGTTGGGCCAGCTGTGCACAGTGAGGAATGAAACGGCGATAAAAATTGACGAGACCAAGAAATCTGCGTAACTTTTTGAAGGAATCTGGAATCGGGTATTCTTTTATGACTTGCAGCTGTTCTGCTATTGGTCGAATGCCTTGATTGTCTACCTGATGTCCCAAAAATTTTATAGTTTTCTTACCGAATTCACATTTACTTGGTTTAATGACAATTCCATATTCGGCTAAACGTTTAAAGAGTGTTTCTAAGTGATGTTCGTGCTCCTCAGGGGATTTACTTGCAACCAGTATATCATCGATATAAGCGTAAGTGAATGGGAGGCCGTGCAATACCTGGTCAATGAATCTCTGAAATGTTTGAGCTGCGTTAGTCAAGCCAAATGGTAGGCGGACGAACTCGAATAAGCCAAAAGGAGTGGTCACCGCCGTTTTGGGGATGTCCTTGGGCTCGACCGGTATATGGTAGTATGCACGAACGAGGTCAATTTTGGAAAATATCTGAGCACCTGCCATGTTATGGAAAAAATCGTGGATGTGCGGAATTGGGTATCTATCTGCTATCGTCTGCTTATTTAAAGCTCGGTAATCTCCACATGGTCGTATCTCTGTTGAGTTTTTCTTTGGTACCATATGCAGTGGTGATGACCACGGGCTGTTTGACGGTCGTATTATTCCTAGATCTAATAATCTGTTGAATTCTGCTTTTGCTATTTGCATTTTAGCTGGATCTAGACGACGTGGTTTTGCTGAGACCGGTGGACCTTTAGTTACAATATGGTGTGTAACGTTGTGCTTGAGAGAGGCTGTGGAGTAATCGCTCTGTGTCAGTTCAGGAAATTTCTTTAGCAAAATATCGTACCTGGATAATTGATCTGTTGTGGCTACCATCAAGCGAATACTCTCGACATCTGTGGAGATGCCTGAAATCGATAGTTTACGACTGGTATCTATCAATCTATGGTGACTAGAGTCAACTAGCAATTCGTAGTGTTGAAGAAAATCTATTCCAATGATAGGAAAGGTTACGTCGGCGACTACGAACTCCCACTCAAATGGCGTACTGCATCCAAAATTAAGTTTTTGCCTCCGAGTTCCAAATGTTTTTATGGTAGAATTGTTCGCAGCCTTGAGAACTAATGCTGGGTTTGGTTGTAAGCGCTCGTTGGGTGTTGGGGGAACTACACTAATTTCTGCACCAGTATCTACCAGGAATTGTGCCCCCGTTGTTTTGTCTGTCACCCTGAATAGACGGCTGTGGGACGTGTGTTGGCCAGCGACCGCAGTCGTCACCGACCGCCGGCCTTTTCGTTTCCCAACGCCACCGTTTGTTGGAAAGCACAAGGTTGTGTGCACCGTTTTGCGTGTACCCCAAATTTCCGATGATACCAGCATATATTCTGTTGTAAGCTATATTTACGCCTATTGCGTGAGTGGCTACGTTGTCTTCTGTACGTTGTGGTAGGTTGTCTATTAACCCTCATTGCCATTAATTGCTCAGTGAGCACGTCGATTTTACGTTCTAAGGCTTCTATGCGCTCGTTTGACGTTTTGTCGACTCTGATGGCTTCTGCTTTATTCAGTGGGTCTATCGTGATAACTTTATCTGGTATTCTGCTAGTGGAAGCGACAGATTGAGGTGTTGACCTCTCGTACATGCGATCTGCGATTTCAGTGAGCCTTTCTATGTCAATGTCGTCGTCTCCGAAGGCAAGAACCTGCTGGATGTTTTGCGGAAGTCGTCGCAGCCAGATTTGATAAAAGAGACGTTTATCGATTTCTCTTCCTGCAACTAGGCTTTGCATATGCCTCATGAGTTGAGATGGGGTTTTATCACCTAACTCAACATTGCTTAACAGGCGATCGAGTGCTTGCCTATCTGAAAGCGAAGTGCATCGCAGTACCTCTTCCTTCAACTTGTCATAAGGCGCTTCTGTGCTGGGATGAACGATGTATTGTCGTACCTGCTCGGCGACTTCGTCTGGTAGCACTGTACTCAAAATGCCAAATTTAGCTGTCTGTGATGTGAGCTTATTGCTAGCCAAATAATGTTCCAGTCGAGCAAACCAAAGATGAGGGTCTCTGGGCTTAAAAACTGGTACAGTAAGAGAGATAGCACTAACAGATCCCAGCTCTAAGTTATCAGAGGTATTGGAAGACATGTTACAATTCGTAAAAAATTGGTTTAAGAGTAACAAAATAGCAAAATTTTTGCACAATAAGAATATGGCAAAACAGAAAAATGCAATGCAGGTGCTTACCACAAATTACTGCAGGTTGTGCGATGAGCAAACACAAGAATGAGTTCGGAATATGTAATAAATATATAGATCCACGAAGGTTAAAGTTTTATTAATCCAACAAGTGTAACAACGCGTCGAGGTCAAAAGTCGTCGTCGTCGGAGTCAGCAAGTTATCGTAGGGCTCACCAATTTGTTGCTGCTCTATTTTGACTGAACTAGAATGCACGTATATCTTAGTACTTCTTCGCGTTTATATTTGTGTCCTAACGTTGTGATTACTCGACATCCACAACGTAATTAAAAAGGCACTTGCGAAGGAATACGACAGTGTATTATTGCAGCAATCAAAATTCAAAAATCGAGCGAGTACAAAAAGTATCAATTGTTAACATGCATGATTTAGAGTAATAAACAAATGAAAGTACAATTACACAATGAAAGTATAGTACGATTATGAGTAATAAAACGGGTCACTACAATACCTTTCATTTGTGTTCAAAGTGGGTGGCTTTCGGAAAATAGGTGTCTCGAACTGAAATTCTCGGTCAGCCAACAAACGAGAGGGGTAGTTCAAAGGGGCAGCATCCTCCGAAATTTTTCTTGTCGGTTTTGAAACATTGGGAAGATCAGTCAAGAATAATAGCCTACCGGTTTACCCTGCGTTGGCTTGCAGGATCCGTGTCCTCAGATGACGAGCCCCTAATTGATGAGCGCAAAATTTCTGATGCAGTTTTCACTACAACTGCTTGATCAAAGTTATCTAAAAAGGAACCTTAGTAAAAATGTGACGTTACTGTGGCGTCCTAAAAGAATGAACTGATAAGTCATGGAACCCGGGGTAGCCTCTGCATGTCCCGTGACATCAGCTGACGAATATGACCGTGGGAAGATCAATGATTTCCAGAAGTCCACATCTCGCTAACTACCAAAATCTTATCAATGGCAGGGACCTTGACTACCAGGAACTGCTTAGTCATCTGCAAATAATGCACGACTATTAGATACGAAAATAGGAACATAGGAAGAAGGGAAGTCTTGAAACAAGTATACTGATATAAAAGTGCGTGTGTATTATAATTAGGTAAGTGAATGCGAAAGTAAACTACGTAGTCGTTAATGCTATGAATTTCGATGAGTTAGCTGATGAATGCAAAACAGTCTGTGTGGCACATAACGACAAAAATGAGAAAGAAGAACTGTTTCAACAGAGTCTAGGATAATAAAAGGTTGGAGAGTGGTGACTGCTATTCAGTGAATATGTTGGTGAAAACTAAAGAGAACCAAACATATCTGCGGGAAAGCGCTCAGTTTCAGTCAGTCAGTCAGTTCAGTTACACATAGTTATATTCATTATTTATGCTTTGGCAAATTTTCTTCCGAAATCGATGGCCATTATCGCAAACTTTCTCACGAAATGTTTTGAATAACTTCTACCAGAAATTACTAGGTCAACAGTTATACACAATAGAAATAGTTTGTATGAAGATTTCACGTGTTTCCGTCTTCTGTTAAATCACTTGAATCACTTTATTAGTTAAACACCGCATTTTCAATTTGCTTTTTATTTAATAAATAGATAATTGTTGTTGTTTTTGTTGAGTTAATGAATTATGCGTGGTTGTGCAAGTGACCTGATCAGTGGTGAAATTTTCTAGATATTTCAGAAGCGAAATGAGTTAGTTCACAGTACTCACACAGATTATCCATTGTGTCTTTCACATACACGTTGGTGTTAGTTAGCTGAAGATTTGTTCAACTGTTTGACTTCATCCTGAATATTCCCATAGATCAACACTGAATTCTAATTGTGTTTAGTGTGAGAATAAACATCTTGTGTAGGCCTGAGGATGATACATATGATGATACTAATTAGTGAGTGCGTGCGTGTGTGAGTGAGTTTACAAGTTCACTGAACTGATTCAGTGAACAAGTACACAGATGTCAGGTGATGGAATTCTGTGTGAATATTGTGAGTGAAATTGGATGGAGGTAGAATTCACTTATCATCTAGAATACGTAGGATGAAGAATGTTTGTGCATGCATATCTTAATTAATTGTAGATGAACTCATCACGACTCCCTCAGAAGGCTTTGTAATAATTCCGAAATCCTTGCAATTCATCATTCGAGTTAGTGGGATTCACCACACACTGTGACTTCACATATCACCACTAGAATACTCACTACTGGCATACTCACTTCTCAAATAGTTGAGTAGTTGTTGTTGAGGCGACATTTCAAGGAGTAGTGATTTCAAGCTGTGAGTGAATGGTGTGAAGGACAAGCTGTTGACTTACTCACTTGAGTGCGTGCACACTTGTGATCTCCTGAATAGAAATTCGATGAGTATGTTGAAGGACTTCAAACCAGACAGATACTCACTCGTTAGCCACTTGGTGAAGTGATTTATCCTTGAGTGACGTGGAGTGGAGTGGAGCTAACTGAATCTAGCGTCTGGGTCGGATGGACAGATGGATCGATATTTATGCGAAAAGTGAAATTCATCATCATCATCATCATCATCATCATCATCATCATCATCATCATCATCATCATCATCATCATCATCATCATCATCATCATCATCATCATCATCATCATCATCATCATCATCATCATCATCATCATCATCATCATCATCATCATCATCATCATCATCATCATCATCATCATCATCATCATCATCATCATCATCATCATCATCATCATCATCATCATCATCATCATCATCATCATCATCATCATCATCATCATCATCATCATCATCATCATCATCATCATCATCATCATCATCATCATCATCATCATCATCATCATCATCATCATCATCATCATCATCATCATCATCATCATCATCATCATCATCATCATCATCATCATCATCATCAGTCCCTTGACTTTCGTCGTGCGGGTGCTATGACAGTTCGCGCTATCAGTCTTCGCCATTCTTCTCGGTTTAATGCTATTTTCTGTAGCGTATCCAAGGGCATTTCAGTCCACTCTTTTATGTTGTCAAGCCAGCTCTTATTCGGTTGACCTCTCTTTCGTGCTCCTCCTACTGTGCCTTGTAGAATCGTTTTGGACAATGTGTCATGTCTTACCGTGTGGCCGAACCATTGTAGTTTCCGTTTCTTTACGATTGAAAGGAGTGGTTCCTGTTTTCCTGCCAGTCTATGGACCTGGTGTAAGACATATTCATTAGTTTTCCTTTCAAGGTAACTTATTCCTAAGATCCTTCTATAGCTTTTGTTTTCGAAGGCTTGTATTCTTCTTTCTGTCTCTGCAATCAGGGTCCAGCTCTCACATCCATATAGGAATACAGAGAGGACCAGTGACGAGTAGAGTTTCATTTTTGCTGAGACGCTGATGTTGCTCCTCCATATTTTCCCTAACTTGGACATGGTGGCAGAGGCTAGGTTTAGTCGAATTTTTATTTCCTTAGTGGACCTTCCATCTTTTGTTAGGGTAGACCCAAGGTATTTGAAAGTTTCAACCTCTTCTAATACATGTCCATCAAGTCTGATACATCTATCTGAGTTGTTTCCTCCGTTAATGAGTATTTTGCTTTGTTCAAGACTAAAACCAGAACTTTTCCTGGAGCAGACATAGGCAGCGATCATGACATGGTTTTAATGACTATAAAATTAAAACTAAAACAGAACCGCAGACAAATAAGCCCTCGAATCAGATATGACCTAGAGAAACTTAGGGACCCAAACATAGCAGAAATGTTTAAGGCAAATGTAGGGGGCAAGTTCGCTGCACTTACCTTGATTCACGACGATATCGATTCACTCACTGAAACCATTAAAACAGTGCTGCATGAATCAGCAACAGAAGTTCTGGGTAACAAAAGAAAGAAAATCAAACCATGGGTCACAGACGATATTTTAAACCTGTGTGATACAAGAAGAGAACTAAAAAAGAAGAAAGGACTTAATTCCCAGTACAGGGAAGAGTATAGAACAGTAGACAAAGAAATACGCTCCAAAATGAAGAGAGCAAAAGAGGGCTGGATTACTGAACAATGTAATATCATCGATAATAGCTTAAGGGGAGGCAACAATAAAAAAGCATTCGAAACACTGAGTAAGCTGACCAATACGAAACTGAATAGAGCAACCGTAATTGAGGATGGTAAAGGCACCCTCTTAACAGAAGAAGCAGATATCCTTAGAAGGTGGACAGAATACTGTAAGGGACTCTACAATCATAAAATAAGCCCTAATTATAGCCTAATAAACAATTCATGCTGGGACAATAGGGAGATCGGTGATTCACCCATACTAGAGTCAGAAGTAGAGGAAGCAATAAAATCACTTAAGGGAGATAAATCACCAGGAATTGACAACATACCGGCAGAACTAATTAAACATGGTGGACCACAAACAGTTAAATGGCTGAAAGCAGCCTGTCAAAAAATCTGGCAAGAAAAAGAATGGCCTAAAGAATGGACTCAGTCACTAATCATTCCAATATTTAAGAAAGGGGACGCAAAGCAGTGCGAGAACTACAGAACAATAAGCTTAATCAGCCACCCAAGTAAAGTCATGCTGAAAGTAATATTGAACAGACTCAAAAAGAAAGTAGAGGAAATACTCTCAGAAGAACAGGCCGGATTCAGGCCGGGCAGAAGCACTGCTGAACAAATTTTTAACATAAGGGTACTAAACGAAAAATGTCTACAACACCAAAAAATGCTAGTACACAACTTTATCGATTTTAAGAAGGCCTTTGACCGTGTGTGGCACGAAGGCTTATGGCAAGTCATGAATAACTACAATATAGATAAAAACATAATTGAGGTTATTAAGTCTTTATATAACAAATCTAGTAGTGCAGTATCTCTAAATAATCAAACTGGCGAGTTCTTCAGAACAACTATAGGAGTACGCCAAGGGTGCATTCTCTCACCAGTCCTCTTTAATTTATTCCTCGAACATATTATGACACAAACCCTACATGGCTTTACACCGACACTTAGCATAAAAGGAAGACCAATTTCCAACCTCAGATTTGCTGATGATATAGCCCTCATTGGGGAAAACATTGATCAAGTTCAGGACCTCACCTCAAGACTTGATGTTGCAACCAAATCTGTGGGCATGGAAATCAGCACAGAAATTCACTTTACGTAAATTTTACCATTACATGTGGAAATTCATCACAGTCACTTCGAGAAACGAAGTGAGTGATATCGTACAACTGGTTTGATCACCAGCAGTATTGTGTAACTGGAACCAACAAGTCACTAGGAGAACAATTCAATTCGCCTCTGGAAAAGTCAGATTACAAGTGGTCAATATATTTGATAGTCAGAGTGACTGGAAAAGAATTAATCTCGGTGACATTCGATTCACTTCAACGTCGTATCAGATATGTGATGATGTCACACAACCGGACGCGATAACACTTTCACTGTGATAAATAAATGTCCACGACCTATGCCCCTACTCACCTGTTCATGCTGA